AAAGAATTAGTCCTCGTCCCTTACATCAGGGGTATGAGGGGTGGGGAATGAAAAATTGCCCTACACCCCTTCAGCTACACCACAGGGTATATATATAACAATAACTAACTTCATTTTGGAATTCTAGAGATGCCTTGTACTGATAAACTATATACAGAGTGTTTAACAAATTGTATAAGTCAAATACTATAAATTAAAAGTACCAGATGAATCATCAGTAGCAAAAGATATCAGTCTTTAATTTTTTAATCATGCATTGTTGCTACCTTTTTTTTGGGATGTGTGTCTGTGGGGGGGGGGGGATCTCACTACAACAAAATACATTATGTTCTAGACTATGAATAGCTGCATTGTTAATTTATCAAAATCTACATTGTAAACAAGCAGTTCCTAAAAATAGTTGCTTCTTTTGTGAGAAATACCTGTCTTTCTACAAATGAAAACCTAGTATTTACTACAATGAAATGACAATACTTTGGGAAAAAACTAATCTAGGGGAACAAAGTTTAAACAATATGTAAATAGAAAACATGGCTTCTGGGGAAAAACAAATAAAATTACATTTTGAAGAATAATTGTCCAAAGGCATGGTAATTCCATTTTCCCTTCATTAATCAAAGTAACAATATTTTAGATAAAAAGTTGATCAAGTCTTTAAGTACCACAATAAGTGTATGCAAGATGCACAAATATAAAAACTTCCCCCATATAAGCTTGGAATATATATATGAGAAACACCTTTACGTGCATCTAATCATATACAAATAATGATGGGTATATGGAGTACTATAGCAGGCTTTGATTTTTACTACATAACTGTAATATGCAAACATGTAACAAAAATTAAGGAAGAACCAGGAACTCTACAAAAGTAGGATATTTGTTACACTCTGATGGATGACTGGATACAAGGGGATTTTGAATTTTTTCTCATGATACTGGCATATCAAAGTATTCAAATATAAATGCACCTTATAAGTAGTACAAACTGAAGCTCACACTTCTCTCTCAATCATGCCAAATATAAACTAAGAGCCGCACTCAAAGGGGTAATCTCAGTATAAATGAAACTGCTAATAAATATAAGCCTTAATTACATACATAGGATAAGGTTGATGCCATCATTACCGTAACCTGCTAAACCATGGAGAGATCTAGTCAAGTGCAGGTCAGATGTATCATAGATAACTTGATACTGGGAAAAAGGAGGATTTGGTTACTTTAAATATACTGAATCCTCTTCAAAGAAAGACATATACTGTTAAATCACTATACGATACAGAATTAATAACCAGGCATAACTTAATCCTAAAAGGAATCTACAAGTGTGTTAGTTAGATATATATAAAGTCTCCCATACATTTTATATCTATGGGAACAGTGACAAATCATCAACTGTGTCATCTACAAAAGTTTCTATCACAGAAGGCTCTAACCATAAACCTCATTATGGAAAAGCACTAATAAACAATTTAATTTCCTAAAAAAATATCAACAAATTTAGGAAGATTGCTAATATCAATATTTTTCTAAATCTACAGCTGACAATCTACAGACCACTATTTCTAACTTTGTGCACCAATTTAATTTAATTACACAGTAGAAATATCCACAGAGAAAAAAACAGTCAGGGAATCCTTTATCATATTCCCCATTAATATCTCATTGTGATCATTAATTTGAATAGCCACAGAAAAAACAAAGACTGGGAATCCTTTCCCATATTCCCCATTAATATCTCATTGTGGCCTTTAATTTGACATTTACATGCTTGAGTTTTGAAATAAAAGACAAGTAGATTGCCAAATATCCAAAGATGGAGGACAGGAAGAATGAACAGAAATGTAAAAGATAAGAAAGAAGGACTTGCCATATCCCAGCATTTGCAATAATGCCATGCTGATGAAAGAAGTTATTATTTTAGTAAACAAAGATTTTGGCAGAAAGAAGATAAATGAGAGAGTTCACACTCCTGTCTCACTATCCTGAGTCTGAATTATACCCTCATCTGTATAGAGCTAAAGACAAGCACATACTACACCTAAAAATATTATCCCTAGTATACAGATCTTCAGGTAACCTCATCTGGGTTTATCAACAGACATCATCTATCACTAATACTTTTTGGTCTTCTGTTTACTACCACCTGGTCAAGAGCCTCACGTAAGAGCTGGAGGCTTCGCTGCACTTTGTTGGCGTCTTTCTTGTAATCCCCCAGCATGTTGGTCAGGGCATCAATCTGTGATAAGCAATAAATCAACTATAGACATGCTTATTTATAACTAAGAGATAGCCATATTACAGTCTTATATAGGCCTCCCATTCCTACGGATCTACTGAATAGTGTCTTAAAAGTGGACAGCTACCTTTAGAGGTTCTGTTCTTTAAAACTTAATAAACTAGTTGTTTCTTTATATCTGTAATCTCTGGTCAGTCTTTTAGGTTGCATTATCAATATAAAAAATATTCAGTAATCTCTGGTCAGTCTTTTCAGTCAAGGTTACATTATCAATATAAAAAAGTATCCTTTATTGTCAGGAAAAATAATAGATCTAAAACTATCAATATCCAGCATAACATCAACTTACCTCCTTTTCATATTCTATGAGGCGACCGTATTTACGGTTGTTTAATATGCGGGTGTACAGTTCTTTTGTACAATAACCAACATAAAAAATAAATGCCAACAGCAAAATCACAGACATGCCATTCTTTATGCGGCGCCACACTACCATCTTCTTAATATCATCATCAATGAGGTTTGCCTCTGAAGTCCACTATATAAAGTAAGTTGCTGTCACAAGAGTTCCTCAAAGAATCAACAAAAATGTTGAACAGCAGGTCACCTGGAAAAGGGATGTTAATTAGGCTGTTATCCAAAAACCCTTATAACAAGGTTAGATACCATAAAGTATAATAATTGTAAATGTTAGGAAGACATCCAAGGTGGCTTTCAAAAGAAGACATTTTTCTTATAATTATACCATGTTTTCCCAACTTAATTTTGTGATCTGCAGTGGAAGCCACATAAACTACTAAGAATTGTGGTGCAACATCAAATGATCACTATGGCTTCCTTGTTTTGGCTTTGTGGCTAAGGCCAATAAACTTCCAATGTGCATACTCTAGCAAGACCGAGCTTAGATGCTTCTTCAAAAAATTCATAGAGTTTACAAATGCTATCTTGTAAGAATATATAGGATGGTTGGCTATTTGTTGCCCAAGTGCTGCACTTAGCCAGTGGCAGATGTGTAGGTGTCTTCTAAAAATTTACTTTTAATAAAGACAGTATGTACTAAATATATAAACAAATGAGAATAAACACCCATATATTTTATTTATAAAAGCACTTTGACTATCTTTTGTTTTTCTTTGTCTTTATTTTCTCAAATGAGTTCATGAGAAAATGCATAAAGACAAATGGAAGGAAAATTGTCAATAGCCATTTAAAACATATAAAATAACATTATTAGTTATAACAATCACATACTGAAGTATCAAAATTAATGCTCGAAAGGCTAAGTCTAGTTATGCCATTACTTCTACACTTTGTACTCTGCTAAGAGTATACACCCTTCCACCACATGCATTCTGGTAAGGGCTTGTAGAACTCTCTGACATATCATCCAAGAAGACACCGATCCAAACTCTAACTTGGTGAGAAGGCTACAGTGTTATATGACGTGGCCCATGTGGTCCTACTCTGAAAAATTACAAGTAAATGCTTAGATGACTGTGTACCTACTACTCCTACAGCATTAGAAAGGGACAACAATCCGCCACCACACATTCTGGCAAGATAGCCATTGTAGATTTCCATGGCCAGGACTAAATACAGGTTCCACTTTGCAGAAAATACAGTGAGGAAATCTGTTTGGTATATGACAAAGTCTGGAGTCTACAGTAATTACCTGTCTAGACTGCAGGCAATAAATCACAAATAACAGCAAGTTTCAAGACAATCTAGGCAGAACACAATCAGTATACATATGAGAAGAGATTTCCGTCTTGAAAGCCACTGTAGGTGTCTTCCAGATAGTTCCCATCTGCAATAATGTCCAAATCCTACAGATATAAATGTGCATAAACACCTGCCTTATTTATCTCAATGAACTTCTACCCTAAATCTGTCACACTACCTAAGGTACAAAGATCATTTGTAAAACATGTACCCAACACAATGAGGAGAAACTAAGCCAAAAATCTGGAAAGATATTGCTTAGAAGAGCTCCACCTTGCACAAAATATCCTTTCCAACTCCGCCCATTCACCTGTCAAACTCCAAGGTGGGAGGAGGAATGACCTTGACTCGACTCGGAACTACGGACTCAAGAAACCGCTTTTTCCTGTCTAGAGCCTCATAACCACATCCATATCCACTATAAAAGTTCTTCAAAAGACCAAATTAACAGCATGGTTCTTAATTTAGACAACAGAGCTCTTTAAAAAGTTTCCTACCAGAAATACGCCCATGAGCCGACAGCTGATGTTGCGACCAAAACAAATCCTCTTCAGATGGCGGCTACGAGCCTAAACTTTTGGTCGTGGCTTAAATATTTTTACTTCTATTAATATAGGCGGCGATGGTATATTTGCATTGCTGACTTTTATTCTCCCAATATTACTAATGTTGTCGCCTACATTAATTATCGTTATTATCATCAATTTCATTTATTTCACTTTTTCCCTCTGCTTCGTCTTCTACGTCTTCTTGTCATGATGATGGTGATAATGATAACAACAACAATTATAATGATGATAATAATAATAATAATGATAGCAACATTGATAATTATAATAATAACAACATTGATAATTATAATAATAACAACATTGATAATTATAATAATAACAACATTGATAATTATAATAATAACAACATTGATAATTATAATAATAACAACATTGATAATTATAATAATAACAACATTGATAATTATAATAATAATAATAATGATAGCAACATTGATAATTATAATAATAATAATGATAGCAACATTGATAATTATAATAATAATAATAATGATAGCAACATTGATAATTATAATAATAATAATGATAGCAACATTGATAATTATAATAATAATAATAATGATAGCAACATTGATAATTATAATAATAACAACATTGATAATTATAATAATAATAATGATAGCAACATTGATAATTATAATGATAATAATAATAATAATGATAGCAACATTGATAATTATAATAATAATAATGAAAAGCAATAATAACAATAATAATGAAACATTGGGCAGATGATGTGGAAAGACTGGATAAATATACTTAGATGGAACGGTCTCCGTTCCTTCCACAGGAGCCATCACAGTCTCATGAGGGTTAGGTTCCTCCACCTGCGCAAATACTTCCTTTCCCCCATGTAACACGTCGCTTGATCGTGGTTGACTTGTCAGGGCCTTGCACTTTCCCCTTGCTCTTGATCACCCACTTTCGCTGCTCCTTCCACCAGCCCAACAAAGCCATTCTCACAATCATGATTTCCTCCCTTAGCCTCTCTTGTCCTTCTGCTTTCAGTCATGTAGTGTTTCTCGCCTTGTCTCTGCCAGCCATGACCAATTTTGCAGAGCATACCTCTCTATCTCTCTCGGCGTGCGTACGTCCTCAAATAAGGCTTGTGTCTCCTCTAATAACTGTAACATCCCCAATACGACCATCCCTCAGTCCCCCAACCAAACACTCCTCTACTTGGCCCCACCATCTGAGACAATGAGTACGTATATAACATGGCTCTGCCTTGCATAACTCCTTCAGGTCTTTCTCTAATTCTTGAAAATTGTGGGGAGTTTGCGGGCTCGAGGTTGTCTGGTTGACTATGGTAGTGGGTACTTCTCGTTCGGGTCCTCTCTTCCTTAATGCAGGGGCTTTATGGAGATCTGCGGAGTGGGGTAAGTTTGGTTCGCTTCTGATGACTGGTAATTTCTCTTCCTCTTCACTTGCTACATCACCTTCACCCGCACTCTCTCTCTCTCTCATTATTTAGTGTAATTGGTTCTTCCATCATCCAGTCTGGTGTCTCATATACTTCATTCCCTTCCTCCTGTAGTGTTACCTTCTCCATGCCCCCATGTGTACTCTCCAGGTCCATAATATTTGGCCAACCTATCAGAATGCAACAACTTGCTCTTGCGCCCCCCCCCCCCTGGCGGATCTGTAGGTTCACCTCATTCAGTACCTCTGTAACCACAAGTCTCATTCAGTCGTAAAGTGTCCGGCATATGCTAATATGTCTTAGTTCATTTACTTTCTCTCTGCACAAGGTCCCGAGAAGGTCTTTCGCGACTTAATTCAAGCCACTCTATTACAGGGTGGAGATTACTATCATGCTCCTGCCACCAGTGAAACGGGCGGATAATGCGGATAGAATGGATAAATGTACTGTTCCTTTTCTAAGTTTTAATTAGGAAGCCTCTATAAAATACATACTGGCACTTTCATTTCAGGTCCAAAAACACATACATTCAAAGAAATATAACTGAAGTATTGTGATGATTTCCTCTTCATAACAGGGTACTGTACATAACTATATATGAATTCTCGGGCACGATCATCACCAGGGCCGTCGGAAAGGCAGCATTGCAGGGGGAGTGTAATGTTTCAAATTTGCCGACAAAGGGCGAGGTCATTGGGCGTGGTCATTAAAACTTGCCATGTCTGAGAACTGTGTTTATTTACTGGTTCTTAACTCGATTTTTACATTTTACCAATTTGCCGAAATTTACCAATTTGCCGAAAAAAATGCAGGTTTAAGGTTTCATTTGCCGACAGATGCTTTTTCACCCCCCCCCCCCCCCCCCCGTCGCGACGGCCCTTATCATCATACACACCCGCTACTTCTCTTGTGAGACACTAATGTCTCGCACTGGTCACTTGATCTTTCCGTGTCCGTATACACTATCAAACTGACAAAACACTGTAATTACAAGCTTTCTGGCTGCTCCAGTCCTCTCAGTCTGCTTACTCTCGTCCCAGGAAGGTCTGCTGGATCCTCTGCCCTGCGTTCACCAGGTCATTGCTGTGGCGGGAGCATCAGCAGGACTCCAGCACTGCTCAAGCAGGCACATCAGCCGGGACCTTGGTGACCACGCTATCCCTTTCTTTTTTTCTTTCCTCTATCACTCTTCCTCTTTCTCCGACTCCGTCTGGGTTGCAATAATTCTTCCTTCAGCACTGCTGGGTCATTCCTCCCAGCCCTCCCGCCTGCATTCCAACCAACTGCGCCAAAATACGAGCTCAAAAGCTCAGGCCGAAGCTGCCTCGTGCTCAGCCTCTCGTCTCTCCCCGCACTTCCCCTCATTTTCTATCTTTGTCTCCTATAGCGTTCTTGTCAAATTCGGATTACACTGTGCGAACGGTTCGTGCGTGTAGCACTGCCCCCTCATATGGACCGTTCTCTGTTCATTCCACCGGAGCCATGAGGATTAGGTTCCTCCACCTGCGCAGCTACTTTCTTTCGCCATGGAACACGTCGCTTGT